GTTATTTATATGTTTTTGAGTTGGGCCATGTTAATTTGTAAAAATTACGAATGAAATGTCATTAGTTGTATTTATGTAGTGTTACTGTAAATATTAAAAAATTTGATTATGGTACAGAACCGAACGGAACCGAACCGACCCGAACCGATCGGAACCAAACCCGAACGATTTCATAATTATATTTGGACCCGACGGATCCATTTATTAAATACCCGAAAGTTTTGGATCTGTTCGAATCTCTTCAGAATCGAACCGAATCGACCCACGGACAGTCCTAACAAAAATTGATGTAATAAACATAATGACGTTGTTAGTTCCCAAGAATTGAATATGAAAAGATTCTCAAGAATTCCCTTGTACCACCAATGTCCTTCCAGCAGAAACTTCATTATTTTGTATTTTGTATTATTGTAGTGTCACCATGTATTCATAATTTGATGTGAAGGGTCAATGTTTGCTCTATGAAAATGCTCCATCAAACTTCATAAAAAGGTATAATAATGGGGTTCTTATGGCTGAAGAAGGGGGTTGGGGCTGGGGTCAAATTTATCACCTAAAAATGATAGCTGTTTTAATTACTCTTTCTTAAACTTGTATATCAAGCCTATATCACATGTTATGCAGTAGAATTGGAACAATATGACATGTGAACCCATTTTATATTCAATTACTTCTTAAGATTTAAGCTTTGTTGTCGGATATTTTTAACATCTTTGATGACAGAAGATATGTAAAAAAAATGATTAGATGACATTGTTGACTGTTTTTAAAACAGTCTAATGAACTTCTGTCATGAGGACATTCTGTCATCCAGAACGTCAATGTAGCATGATTGAGTTCTTAATGAACCCGTTCGAAAACTTAGTCCAATCAAATGAAAGTCCCGGATTCAATTTTGACCGGCATATCTCATTAAACATTTGTTGATGGAAAAAAAATCCGCAAAAAGACTTATTTAGATTTCTGTGAAACTTAAATGTTTTGTGACTCGTCAATTGGGTGTAAAAAATGGTTGGTTTGGTCAATAGATACACGATGTGGACAGTACATCCCCATACTATGTGAAATGTGATGGTGTAACATTTGTAACACAGCTCATTGCCATGTGATTTTGGACCCTTTATATTCTTTACCAGCTTCTTTCTTTAACTATATTTTCTTTGACCCGGTCTAACCACTTTGCTTGTACTTGCAATACATGTAGTAGAATCCACAATTAATTATTTTTATAAGAAAAATCCTCCATCTTCAATTATATATCATGTTTACTTGTGGTTCTTGAATTCTGCACCAAAAAGTAATAAAAAAAGATATCTTCAATCATGCAATTTTCCCTGAATGACCAAGTTGTGTCACATCAATAAATTTCAACTTTCCACCTATAATTTAGAAAAATTTTATTCAACTCCATAGTGGGATATTATTGTTTCTCTTTTCTTTTATTGTTTCTTTGCTCGAGAGAAAAAAAAACCATTATTTGACATAATTTGTTCGTGTTCTTAAATTCACAGATTGAACATGTAACATCTCTTTTGGAACTTTATCGAAGGTTCTTCATAAGAAGAAGGGGGGAAATAATAGGAAGGTAATTTCACTGTATTTCTGATCAGGCATGATCCTGAAATTTTTTACGCGTTACTCACTCTTTCGCCACTGAAAACACCACTTCACATCCTATTCATTTGCACGCGGTAAGAATTTCGGGTGGGGAACATCTCAATGGAAATCGGGCGCTCCCATGAAGGAAAGGGGCATAGAGGCGAGGGACCATACCCTGCCAGATCTACTCGTGTGGTCAGCCTATGACACATACTTTAGGACGAATTCCTGGTCATTCCAAAGGCTAAAAAATGTCAATAACGAGTAGACAGCAAGGACCACCACTCTCGACCTGTAAAACCTAGGACGGGCTCTTAGAAAGCTCTCAATGCCTTAATTGTTGTCCTTACCTCCTGGCTTTCCACTGGAAGAAAAACAATCACATTGGAAACTTCTCTACTCGAACTCGATTTTGAATCCCTAATCTAATAAACAATTCAAGTTGGTGAAGAAAATTGAATTTCTTTAAAGCAGGCAGCTAAACATAGTCAAAATTCAATTGGCAATTTGCTCTGAGGTTGACCCGGAATTCTATGAACCCAACTCAGTTTGTATAAACATGCAACAAAATTGAGATAACATGATCCTGTTTTAGACCACATTCGGAGACATTCTTTAGCTCCCATCATTTCAAAATTCATTATAATAATCATTAAAGACAACCCATCTCATCACACCACGAGCAGATTATATTCACTTTTCAACCAAAGCATAATTTTTTTTTATGGAGACTCGTAACGTGATACACACATCGAATCGCCACTTATAAACATGAGTAATACTATTCATAAGTATCAGTATAGATGATTATTACGAGGTGTTAAATAATTGATTCGTTTAAATGCAAAATCATGACTCATTTAATTAAATCTTTAAAATATAGTCATTCAGATTGGTACTTTAGTACCACGGGTGCTAGATAACATTATTCTATAAATATATAGAAAAATCTCTATCATTGAAACCTAATCACTGCCAGATGGTGTGGACAATTTTTCCCTTGTGACAACTTTTTGCTGCTGTAAATTCATTCATACAGCAATCCACTCGTTTATTAATTATTAAACTAAAGAGAGTTGAATTTCAGATCCAACATCTTGTGAAACACGTAAGAACAATATACATGCATACGTACTGCGTACATATGTGAGAGAGAGAGAGAGAGAGAGAGAGAAGGACAAGGACGTAGTTTTTTTTTTTAAGAAATCAACAATCCATATTAAATATTTAATATGAGGGTTTATTCATTATTTCACCATTTTTTATTGAAAAATTTGATAAAAATTGATAGAAATGATGGTTTGCACAATTAAATGTGTAATTAATTGTGAAAATACAAAAAAAAAAAAAAAAAAAGAAAGAAAGAAAGAGACTTTTTCGCAATAACGTTGAAAGATAGGGGACATTATGTGCTAATTACCCTTTTAATAATTTATTTGTGACTTATTTGCACTTTTTAAAAAAATTTGGGATTGTGATTGCAATTAATTTTTTTTTCTTTTTGCTTTATTTAAAGAGAAGATTATATTCGTCATTTCATAATTTTTAATTGAGAAAATAGGTGAAAATATCATTTTGCGCAATGAAATGTGAAAATAAGGGTGAAAATTACCAAAAAAATGAAAGGTATGAACATTTTTCACAATAACAATGAAAGATGGGAACGTTACAAAAAAAAAAAATTATAATTTTAACAGAATCAAACTTTGGCTTCTCGGCCTCCCTCCCTTTTCCCTGTTAACACCACATCCGAGTATATATGTCGTTTCCCAGGAATTGACCCCACCCCACCCCACCCCACCCATCAAAAGATAGCTGAAAATTTTGCTTCTACTCTTTATTTAACATCCCCATTAGCAGAAAATTTTGCTTCTACTCTTTACTTAACATCCCCATCTTAACGATCCTTTCTTTTTATTCTTGCTTTCAGTTTCCTTTGTTTTCTTGTTATTTATAGTTATTTTCACTTCCAAAATGAGCAGTATTATGAATATGAAATTGTATAGACAGCAGCAGAGAGGTTTCTTTCTCTATATTTTCTTGTTTTCTGTGGTCATTTTCTTGGCTGAGTGTTCACATGGTCACGGGGAATCAGTTGGAACAAAACTGGAGTTGATTCACAGGCACCATTTGCAGCCTATGACTCAACTTGAGCGTCTCAAACAGTTACTTCATAGTGATACAATTCGCCAACGTTCGATTTCTGAGAAGTTATGGTTGCAAAAGAACAGAAAAATTACTGGCAGAAGGCAACTTCGGGAGAGTCCTAATGCCACGTATTATCATTCAGCCTGCACCAACAGCAGTAGAAGGGCTAAAAATGGCTATGTTTCTGGGGAAATGACAATGTACTCAGGGGCTGATTTTGGGACAGGGCAATACTTTGTGTCCTTTAAGGTTGGATCCCCTGCACAAAGATTCGTGCTGATTGCTGATACTGGGAGTGACTTGACTTGGATGAACTGTCAGTATAGGTGCCATGGGGCTAAGTGTAGGAAGAAATCTCGAAAACGGAGAGTTTTTCGGGCCGATCGTTCGTCGTCTTTCGATACTGTGCCTTGTTCATCAAGAATGTGCAAGATTGAGTTTTCGAGTCTCTTCTCTCTTACCAGATGCCCTTCTCCCCATACTCCTTGCGCCTATGATTACAGGTAGATATGCATTGGCTTCTTTTGTTTTTGTTTTTTGGTTTTTTGGGATGGTCGGGATTGGATTACTCCACTTAATAGATTAACTTATTGGTCGAGCTCACAACTGACCTTCGGGATATGATCTCAGTTTGGTTAAAAATAATCATGTGCACAAGCACATTTGACCAAGCTTAAAACGTAAAAGTTACTTTTAAGCTCTTTTTAACAAAACTTGAGTTAATAGCAACTCTAGCTTTTAAGCTTAGCCAAACATGGTTATAACTGTAACATTTTAAATAGCTGGCCAGTAGTCATATATTGCGTCAGCAATACTGTTATCTGGTTAAGCCATTATAGCTCTTACCTACATCTAACATGGGCAGTTAAATGACAGTTATTGCAAAGTAGATTGGGTTCACATGACTTGTACCTATGCATCAGTGCGAGGGCTTGTTTGGTCGGGGTTAGTTCAACTTCCTTAATTACCCCATGGCATAGGCGTGAAGTCGATTTGTAACGAAGGACAATGGATTCCCATATTTCGGATGGTTGAAGAACATCCTTGTCCTTGATCAGTACACAAATTTATGCCTGGACCAACATGCCGACTATATAGCTCCCAACTAGTAGACAGCAATCCTGGAAAAGTGGATGTACTTAATTCGCGTAAATCTTGTCATGAGATAATTCTCTCGCGTCGTCAGTTTTGCACGTTCTTAAATAAGCACGGTTAAGAATCATCTACATTCAACGAATGTCGACTTTAACTACAAATTTTAACTCAATCTAATTCTTTTTCTTTCTTTAACTATGGTTCATAAAATTAGGTACTCAGATGGATCAGCTGCACTCGGAATCTTTGCTAGTGAAACTGTAACATTTGGCCTGAAAAATGGCATGAAGAAGAGAATTCACAACGTCCTAGTCGGATGCAGTGAGTCTACGATTGGCCGAAGTTTCCAGGGGGCCGATGGTGTTATGGGGCTAGGCTATAGCAACTATTCCTTTGCACTCAAAGCTGCTGAGAAGTTTGGTGGCAAGTTCTCGTACTGTTTAGTCGATCATTTAAGCCCCCAAAATCTGTCCAGCTATCTCATTTTCGGATCCTACAAAAGCGTAGATTTTATTACAACACCCGACAGAATGCAACACACTGAACTTGTCCTAGGAGTCATCAGTTCGTTCTATGCTGTAAATATAAAGGGCATTTCTATTGGAAGTATGATGCTCGAAATCCCGGCTGAAGTGTGGAATGTGAATGGTGTAGGAGGGACAATTCTCGACTCTGGTTCCAGTCTAACTTTCTTGACACAACCTGCTTATCAGCCAGTAATGGCTGCCCTGAAACTGTCCCTTAGGAGTTTTACAAGACTAAATCTCGATATTCCACAGCTCGAATTCTGCTTTAACTCGACCGGGTTTGACGAGTCTTTGGTGCCAAGATTGGTGTTTCATTTTGCAGATGGAGCAAGATTTGAACCACCAGTAAAGAGTTATGTAATTGATGTGGCTCCTGGAGCTAAGTGCCTGGGGTTTGTGCCTACAACTTGGCCTGGTACATCTGTAATTGGCAATATTATGCAACAAAATCACATATGGGAATTCGACCTTTCAAATAATAGATTGAGTTTTGGTAGCTCCTCCTGCACTTAGATTCTTGGCGTTGTAATTTGCATTCCCTTCTTATTCAATGCCCACATTAAGAAGCATACATATTACTTGCAAATTATGTGTCTATTTTTCATTATTTTTTTTACTCGAACTCAAATAAAAATGAAGATTACGATAGAAATTACGAAAGTACTGCATTCGTTCTTCATTAGCGAACTTAGTCATGTGAATTCACAAGATGAAAATGTATGGACCCTAGTTGATTGCTCAAAATTTGTGGTTGACTATCGTAGGCGATTGTGGTCCTTGGTGCAGTGGACAAGTTGAGTCTTGACGGAGCCCAAAGGCAAATATGTTACGGCTTACTGGGCAACTACTAACGAAAATGTTGGACTAATGCGAACAAAATTCCAAATTAAATAAATGTAGAGCGAATTGTGAGTTATCACTCTGTTTGATCCACATTCTTACAAAAATTCATTTTTTTCAAAACCCATTTTCAACCACACATTTTTCAATAAAAAAAATATTACACGCAAATCTAAAACTTTTTCTTATTTTTTAATCACATATTTTCCATCAAATCACTATTTAAAATAGATTTTTCACTCAATAGTGAACATGAAATAGGGTCTATAAAGAAATTGAGTTTACCCTGGCCTGTTGAGGTACATCCAGCGATTTACCTCCTCCACAATACTCTAGGAGCGGGGTGGAGCGGCCCTCAAAGTTGGGGTTCAACCTTTATAAAGAAATTGAGCTACTCTTAATGGTAACGGAATCTTAATTTCATCTATAGGCCCAAGGGAATTGTTACCGACAAATAATGTTGCATTGAGGCCAATCATTCTTGTATGAACGTATCTTCACAATATCTATATCTATCTTTTAGTGCATTGCCACTATCTAAGCAATCTTGTTTTCTATCACAACAATATTTGTCACGATGCGTTGAAAAATATATTTGGCACAAATTAACTATACAATAAACGACAATTAAAATTAAAATTTATTTTATTTTATTTTTTATTAAATATATATTACTGATATTTTTTTTGGAGAGATAGTGGTTAAAAGTAGAGAAAAAGTATAAGCCTCATAGAATATGATTATATGGTTGAAAATGCTTTTGAAAAAACAATGATTTTAAGAAAATTTCTCCCAAATAGACCCATAATTTTATCTTAAAATGTCAATTTCGTTAAGAAGAATAATCGAAGTTCTTACTTGTTCGTTAATATTTTTATAGAGTAATGTTATTCATCGCATTATTGATGATTAGCAATCTACAAGGCAGTGTGATAAATTGTTGATGAATAACATTATTAATTTTTTATACTTGACTGATGTGAGATTTACCTTTAAAATGGCCCCGCCATAAGGTGACATCTCATTTAATCATACCTATCATGAATTCAATTATCTTTTTTAAACTTAGCAAACTGTAATATCATATTTAAATTTAAATTTTTTTATGTAAAAAATAGTCAATAAATAAGAAAAGCAATAGGGATGGCAATGGGGTAGGTCGGAATAGGAACAACCTCTCCTGCCACTCGCCCCGCCAGGCAATTTCCCATCCCTTCCTCGCCCCCGCACTGTTACCCGTTTAAGGTGTGTTGGGGCCCTTGCCTTGTTTAATTTTTTTTTAAAAGTTTTTGATAATTCCATTCATTAAAGTGGGACAATAATATATATTTTTTTAATTTTTAATTTATTTTTTAAAGTTAAATTATTTAAATATATTTGATAAATTAAAGTTTTTATTATTTTTTAGATAATCTTAGTTGTCATTTTCTATTAGAACAAATAAAATTTCGTNTTAGTTGTCATTTTCTATTAGAACAAATAAAATTTCGTAGAATTTTCCATTTAAAGTATTGAATTTTAAAAAAATAAAAAATAAAAAAAATAAACAGGGCGGGGCAAGGTACCCGTTCCCCGTACCTACCTTGGGGCGAAGTTAACGCCTTGTCCCCGACCCGAATACCCGATTAAGCGGGTAATCCTCTCCCCGTTTGAGGCAGGATCTCGAGGGTATTGAATTTGTCGGATTTTTTTTTGCCATCCCTAGAAAGCAACTCAAAACCTTCTAATAAAAAGAAAATAATTTCATGATAACCAATTGAAATTTTCTTCAAGTTATTGGGTCCCAATAAATCCATCAATCATGCCAATCATCAAACCCCCTTCGTTAGTTTCGATGAATAGCATTATTAATAATTCCAAACATTATGACTCTCAAGAAAGTTCTTTCCACATTATATATTGAAACCATAGTGGACTTAGAACTTGTAAGCTACAAGTTGAATAATCATAAGCAAGTGGATTCGTTTGAGTTTTGCATGAATTAAGCCACTAATTCCTCCATCCAACCAATTCTTGTTACCTAATACATCCTATTTTAAATAAGTTTTAGTCACACTGCTCAATAAAAAATATTATATCCTAAGGTCCGTCCATGGTTAAAGTTGAGAATTACCTAATACTACAGTAGCAAAGTACCTAATAGAAAGAAGGCATATCAACTTTTCTATTATCGGTTAGGATTTTTCTCCACCTGTAAAGTTGAATTCTCTTGTTTGCTTGTCAAGGGGGCACAATTACCTCAATATTTTAATAGATTTCGATAAAAATTGATAAAATACGTAATTGAAAGGTTATGAAACTCATAGAATATGTGGTTAAAATTAATTGTTAACTTTAACTTAAATTAAAATCTAAATTTTAATCGATACCGAACAAGGGCTAGCTCCGATAAAATTGTTAACGAGAAATTCTCAAGAATAACAAAATAAAAATAAAAATTAATGGAGCAAATAATCATTGATTAAAATTCTATAGGGGATCGATTTAGGTGAAATAGATACATGTCGATAATTTAGACAGAATATCAACAATGTACCATTGGCGATCATTGACACACCTTTGTCAGCGATTTCGATGATAATGACGTCAGTAATATTCGAGAATTATAAACAGTACTAATGAGAAGATGTCGTGATCGCCGATGAATGACCATTGATAATTATGATTAAAACCAATATATTTTCCTAATTCAAATGGAATTAGTGATGGTGTTACTTTTGATAATCACTAATACACTTCCAATTGAAGATTATGTCATGATTGATGTTGTTCGGAATCATCAATGACATTTCAATCAAAGCCATCCATGTTTCGGTCACAACGGGAAGCCGCCTATGGCACTCAAAAAAAATTCTCTCTCTCTCTCTCTCTCCCTCTCTCAGTTTTGGTCTCCTGCGCGCTGATCTCTCTCTCTCTCTCTCAGTTTTGGTCTCCTGCGCGCTGATATTTCAATCAAAGCCATCCATGTTTCAATCACAACGGGAAGCCGCCTATGGCACTCAAAAAAATTTCTCTCTCTCTCTCTATATATATCAGTTTTGGTCTCCTGCGCGCAG